TCTCTATTTCTCTCTCTCTCTCTCCCTCTACCTACCTACTGTATTTCTCTCTCTCTCTATCCCTCTACCTACCTACTGTATTTCTCTCTCTCACTCTATCCTTCTATCTACCTACCTACCTACTCTCTCTCTCCCTAGCTATCTACTGTATTTCTCTATTTCTCTCTCTCTCTATCCCTCTACCTACCTACTGTATTTCTCTCTCTCACTCTATCCTTCTATCTACCTACCTACCTACTCTCTCTCTCCCTAGCTATCTACTGTATTTCTCTATTTCTCTCTCTCTCTATCCCTCTACCTACCTACTGTATTTCTCTCTCTCTCTCTCCCTCCCTACTGTATTTCTCTCTCTATCTACCTACTGTATTTCTCTCTCTCTCTATTTCTCTCTCTGTCCCTCTACCTACCTACTGTAGTTTCTATTTCTCTCTATTCTTTTATCTACTTACCTACACACACTCTCTCTCCCTACCTATCTACTGTATTTCTCTTTCTATTTCTCTCTCTATCCCTCTACCTACCTACTGTATTTCTCTCTCTCTCCCTCCCTACTGTATTTCTCTCTCTACCTACTGTATTTCTCTCTCTCTCTATTTCTCTCTCTATCCCTCTACCTACCTACTGTAGTTCTATTTCTCTCTCTCTATTCCTTTATCTACCTACCTACCTAACTACTCTCTCTCTCTCCCTACCTACCTACTGTATTTCTCCCCCCTCCCCCCTACCTATCTACTGTATTTCTCTCTCTCTCACTATCCCTCTATCTACCAATCTACCTACTCTCTCTCTCTCTACTGTATTTCTCTCTCTTCTCTCTATCCCTCTCCCTACCTACCTACTGTATTTCTATTTCTCTCTATCCCTTTATCTACCTACCTATCTACCTACCTACCTACCTACTCTCTCTCCCTACCTACCTACTGCATTTCTCTCTCTCTCTCTCTCCTACCTACTGTATTTCTCTCTCTCCCTACCTACCTATTGTTTTTCTCTCTCCCCCCCCCTCTCCCTCTGTTACTCCGAAAAATACGGTAATTTCTCCACCCCCTTTTTAATTCTTTAATATTCCCTCCCGCAGCGATGACCTGGTTGTAGAAAGTTACCGTCCACAGTTTCCGAAGCCGCCATTCCTTCCCGTTCCTGGGGGGGGGGGGGGGTTGACGACCTGCCAAGAAAAAGAAAAAAAAAAGGAAATAAAATCGGAAAAAAGGCACCTGAAGTTGGAAAGAGGGATCTGACTGAGGGGGAAAAAATGCCTGGGAAATAAATCCAGCGGATTCCTTTTGGGAGCCATGGTTCTATGAGGTGGGGTTGTTTTTTTAAATTCAACCTGATCCCCTCTGGATTAATTTGGTGGCTGACCAGGGGAAGGGAGGGGTTGGGATTCGAACGCGGGCTCACCAGAAGGGGCGATCGGTTGGAGAAGAGGGGGAACCTTACATCCCCCCCAATTTATAGGGGTGACGTTTCCCACAATTTGAGCCAAGCCTAAAATCTCCTCCTTTCGCACATGCCACGGAAGATAGTTAGTTTAAGACACCAGGATAGTAAGCAAGAGACTATGAGTTCAAGTCTGGCTGTAAACATGAAAAACGGCTGGGTGATTTGAGGCTAATCACCAGTAGATGGTGAGTTCTAGTTCTGCCTTAGGCAGGAAAGCCAGATGAATGACTCTGGGCCAATCACCAGGAGACTGGGAATTCTAGCCCCACCTTAGGCANTCCTCCTCCTCCTCCTCCTCCTCCTCCTCCTCCTCCTCTTCCTCCTCCTGAGGCCTTCCAATAAGGGGGACGCCAGATTCATTGAACAACCAGCCTGACTAAACTCCGACCAACGGCAGCGATCCCCTTAACGCCCGCGTCACGTAAAACGGGGCAAAACCCACTTCCGCCGCGCCTCGCTTAACAACAGAAACCATCAGGCTCGACTGGGGTTCATCCGTGAAGGACCTCACCCCACTCTTTTCCCCCCTCGCAGGCTTCTCATGACTAACCACACGCCGGATCCAATTTACAACCCGACTTTAATTACTGAGTTTTGACAGCCAAACCCTCTGGCCAAACCAATTAATTTTTTATTCCGCTTTTCTGCTCCGTTGAGATTAGGCCGCCCAATCTGCTCGGCGCCCGGCGGTTTAGCTGGCACCGCTTGCCAGGCGAACGGTGAACGCTCCCTTGCTCTCGCCAACCTGACGGCCGGCTTCGTCGGCCGTGTTATCCCAAACGTTTCTTTGCCCGGACTTACTTTTCTGTCCTGGGGGGTGGGATCGGCGCCCGGCTTTAGCAAAGCTTCCTGCAGGAGCCGATGCATGGCTTCCCACTTTAGCCAGTTGGCGCGGTGCATCTGCATCTCTTTCCTGGCCTGCAAGAGGAGAAGAGGAGGGGAGGAGAAAAGGTTTTTAATAAGGGCAAATGGGCGCTTGCTCAATTACATTAAATAGCCGCTGGCAGGAATGGCAGGCTGTGCCAGTCCCCCCGGGCTCCGGCCCAGATAAACTTGCCAAGCGAGGAGCCACCATCTTTGACCGCAAAACAGCAGTGGGTTTTTTTTTTCCCCTGGAGCTGGCTGACGGACAGTTCTCGTTTTAGGGTGTGGGGCCTGCATATACATGGAGGAAGAGGGAGAGCCAGAGAGACGGACGGACGGTAGATAGATGGATAGATAGATAAGATGGTTGGTCGGTAGGTTGATAGATAGATAGATAGATAGATAGATAGATAGATAGATAGATAGATAGATAGATAGATAGATAGATAGATAGATAGATACTGTAGATAGATAGGNCTGAGCCAATATTTTGGTTGCTAAGCAAGAGTGTTAAGTGAGTTTCACCACATTTTACAAGTTGGCCATGCCCACCCAGGCACATGGCTGGCAAGCCACCCCCATCCCAGTCACATGGCCAGCAAGCCACTCCCACAAAGCAGGCCACACCTACAGAAGAGGTTCTAAAAAAATTTGAAACCCACCACTGGAATGGCCCCTCCCATAGGGAATAAAAGAGGAGTGGGCTTTTGAACGGAAACAATCCGTTCAATCGGTCGTTAGGTTCGTTTCAGGAGTGTGAAGATCTGTCCGTGAATCTCAGAGACTCTCTGCCCAGTCTTTCCTGGCACAGCAGCACCTCCTTTGTGAAATATTGACAGGGCAGCTTTCCAAGATGGATGAGGTCTGTGGTCATAAATTCCCCTTCTGAAATATTGGTTTTTGCTGAAGGCGAACGAGAGGAATTCACATTCGTTTAATCAAAGGGGGGTTTGTTCGGGACCAGGAATCTGCTTCGTGCTTTTTGGGGAAGCCTCGGTCCGAACAGTCGTAGCTATGGCCCTCAATTATTGATGGCTCTGAGCTACGACCCTTCATTATTTTTTTATTATTATTTTAATCCCGTTATTTTTAATCCTAGCTTTTCTCGGAGGGATTTCAAAGGATGCTCGAGAGGTTTGGCCCTCATTTTTATCCCGGCCGCCAAGGAAACAACTCGCTTGACCGGCCTCTGGAACCGCAACTCAAAAACTTATCGATGGGAAGAGAGTATTGGTAGCTCGGGGTTTAAAAGAGGGTCCTTCGGTACTCTCATTGGGTTTTTTTTTTTTAATAGGCGTTTTACTACCAAACTAGGTAACATTATCACTTCTAGAAGGGGAAAGGGGTTTGTGGAGAAGAGGAGGGAGGAGGATTGTGGGGTCCCTGGTGGTCTCTGAGCTTGGTTGTTATTTTGCAAACATTTCGTCATTAAAATTGGAAAAAAAAACATTAGCAGTAGAAGTGAGTGAGGCTTGTGGAGACGAGGAGGAGGAGGAGAAAGGAGGGAAAGGGAAAGAAAAATAGACAAAAGGAAAGGAGGAGGAAGAGAAGAAGGGGGAGGATGAGGAAAGAAGGAGAAGAAAGAGGAGGAGGAAGAAAAGGAAAAAGAAGAAGGAAGAGGGAGAGGAGGAGAAGAAAGAAGAGAAGAAGGGGAGGATGCAAAAAGAAGGAAAAGAAGGGAAGAAGAGAAAGGGAAAGGAAGAAAAGGAAAAGAGGAAAGGAAAATAGACGAAAGGAAAGGAGGAGGATGAGAAAAGAAGGAAAAGGAGGAGGAAGAAGAGGAGAAAGGAAAAGAGGAAGAGAAGGGAAAAAGAAGAGAAGGAAAAGGAAGAGGAGGAAAAGAAAGAAGGGGAGGATGTGAAAAGAAGGAAAAGAAGGGGAGGAAGAAGAGAAAGGGAAAGGAAAAAAGGAAAAGACGAAAGGAAAGGAGGAAGAGAAGAGGGAGGATGAGAAAAGAAGAAGGAAAAGGAGGAAGAAGAGGAGAAAGGAAAGGAGGAGGAAGAGAAGGGAAAAAGAAGAGAAGGGAAAAAGAAGAGAAGGAAAAGGAAGAGGAGGAAAAGGAAGAAGGGGAGGATGCGAAAAGAAGGAGAGGAGGAGGAGAAAGGGAAAGGAAGAAAAGGAAAAGAGGAAAGGAAAATAGACGAAAGGAAAGGAGGAAGGGGGAGGATGAGAAAAGAAGGAAAAGGAGGAAGAAGAGGAGAAAGGAAAGGAGGAAGAGAAGAGAAGGGAAAAAGAGAAGGTAAAGGAAAAGGAAGAGTAGGAGAAGGAAGAAGGGGGAGGAGGAGAAAGGAAAGGAAAAGAGGAAAGGGAAGCGAAGGGAAGAAAAGGAAAAGAGGAAAGGAAAATAGACAAAATGAAAGGAGGAAGGAGGAGATAAGGAAGAGGAGGAGGAAGAGAAGAAGGGGAGGATGCGAAACGACGGAAAAGAAGGGGAAGGAGGAGGAGAAAGGAAAGGGAAAGGAAGAAAAGGAAAAGAGGAAAGGAAAATAGACGAAAAGAAAGGAGGAAGAGAAAGGGGGAGGATGAGAAAAGAAGAAGGAAAAGTAGGAGGAAGAAGAGGAGAAAGGAAAGGAGGAGGAAGAGAAGGAAGAAAAGGAAAAGGAAAAGGGAGAGGAGGAGAAGGAAGAAGTGGGGGGAGGAGGAGAAAGGAAAGGAGGAAAGGGAAGCGAAGGGAAGGAAAGGAAAAGAGGAAAGGAAAATAGACGAAAGGAGGAAGAAGGGGAGGAGAGAAGGAAGAGGAGGAGGAAGAGAAGAAGGGAGGAAGATGACAAAAGAAGGAAAAGGAGGAGGAGTATATATACCTACATAATATAAATCAAATTTCCTAACCAAGGAACCACTAAGAACTTTCCCACCAAAACTCCCAGGGCAACCCCACTCATCATCACTTGCACTGATGATGTTACCTAGTTGGGTAAGGAAATGTCAGCAAGAAAACCAGNGACGGCCTTGGCCCCATCTCTGCCTCTGACCCAGAACCCTCATCCGAGCCTTCCCCAGACTCCAGGACTGGCCCATCTTCCTCCCCAACTTCCAAACTGTCCGAATCGGCTGCCGGCTCCGCTGGCGGGCCGCAACTCTTCTCCCCTCTCCCTACCAAAGAACAAAGAGAAAGATTGCTTCCAAATCCAGCCCCATCGGTTTCCTTCTTCAACTCACATTCGGACAACTGAGAAAACCTTGTACGGGCCGTCCTCGTCTCACAACCTCAAATGCGCCCCAGGTTTCTGTCGTTAAGCGCGGCAGGTGTGCAGCGAGTCCTGCCCCACGTCACAGCCTTTCTTCCCATGGTTGCTAAGTGAAACGCTGCAGTTGATAAGGGTGCCACCGGTTGTTAAGTGAATTGGGCATCACGGGACCCCGGGACACGGCAACGACGGTGCTAAGTCCAAACCAGTTGCCAATCCTTTGAATTTTGAAACCGTGATCACAGAGATGTTGCAAAGGTCCTCAATGTGAAAAATGGCCGCTTTCGTGGAGTTGCGAAGTGTGAAAAAAAAACAAACACTGTTTTCCGGGCCGTTGTAACTTTCAACTGTCTAAACAACTGTGAGGAGAGTCCTCAACTTAAAAACTTTAGTGCGCATAGTTACAGCACTAAAAAAAAAAGTTACCGTATTTTTCAGTGTATAAGACACACCGGAGTATAAGACGCACCAAGGTTTTGAAGAGGCAATTTTTTAAAAAAGTAGGTAGGGAGAAAGAGAGATAGAGAGGGAGAGAAAGGGAGAGAAATACAGTAGGTAGATAGGGAGAGAGAGAAATACAGTAGGGAGGGAGGGAGGGAAATACAGTCGGTAGATAGAGAGAGAGAGTAGGTAGGTAGGTAGGTAGGTAGGTAGATAAAGGGATAGAGAGAGAGAAATATAGTAGGTAGGTAGAGGGATAGAGAGAGAGAAATAGAAAGAGAGAGAGAGAGAAATACAGGGAGGGAGAGAGACAGAGAGAGAGAAATACAGTAGGTAGGTAGAGGAATAGAGAGAAATAGAAAGAGAGAAATACAGTAGATAGGAAGAGAGAGACAAATACAGTAGGTAGGCAGGGAAAGAGAGAGAGAGAGAGAGAGAGAAATACAGTAGGTAGGTAGGGAGAGAGAGTAAGTAGGCAGCAGAGGTGGGTTCCTAACCAGTTCACACCAGTTCGGTAGAACCGGTTCGTCAAATCTACCAAACCGGTTANATGAGAGGGGGAGGGAGGGAGAAAGAGAAAGGGAGGGAGAGAAAGAAAGATGAGAGGGAGGGAGAGGGAGAAAGATGGGAGAGGGAGGGAGGGAGATGAGAGAGAAAGAAAGGATGGGAGGGAGGGAGGAAGAAAGATGGAGAAGAGGGAGGGAGAGAAAGAAAGGGCGATGAGAGAGGGAGAGAGAGAGAGAGATGACGGGAGGAAGGGAGAGGGGGAGAAAGAGGAAGGGAGGGAAAGAAAGAAAGATGAGAGGGAGGGAGAGGGAGAAAGATGGGGGAGGGAGGGAGATAGAGAGAAAGAAAGATGGGAGGGAGAGGGGGAGAAAGAGTGAAGGAGAAAGAAAGATGGAGGAGAGGGAGGGAGATAAAGGGCAATGAGAGAGAGAGAGAAAGAGATGAGGGGAGGAAGAGAGGGAGAAAGAGAAAGGGAGGGAGAGAAAGAAAGAAAGATGAGTGGGAGGGAGAGGGAGATGAGAGAGAAAGAAAGAAAGAGATGGAGGGAGGGAGGGAGAGAGGGAGAAAGAAAGATGGAGGAGAGGGAGATAAAGAAAGGGCAATGAGAGAGAGGGGGAGAGAGAAAGATGAGGGGAGAAAGGGAGAAAGAGAAAGGGAGAGAAAGATGAGAGGGAGGGAGAGGGAGAAAGATGGGGGAGGGAAGGTGATAGGAGAGAGAGAGAAAGAAAGAGATGGGAGGGAGGGAGAGGGAGAAAGAAAGATGGAGGAGAGGGAGGGAGATGAAAGGGCGATGAGAGAAAGATGAGAGGGAGGGAGAGAGAGAAATGAGAGGGAGGAAGGGAGAGAAGGAGATAGAGAAAGGGAGGGAAGGAGAGAAAAAAAGACGAGGGAGAGGGAGAAAAATGGGAGGAGGGAGATGGGAGAGAAAGAGATGGGAGAGAGGGAGAAAGAAAGATGGAGGAGAGGGAGAGATAAAGAAAGGGCGATGAGAGGGGGAGGGAGAGAAAGAGTGATTAGAGAGGAAGGAAGAGAGGGAGAAATGGGGAGAGGGAGGAAGAGAGAAAGAGATGAGAGGGCGTGGGAGAAAGATGGGAGAGGGAAAGAGGGAGGGAGGGTGAGAGAGAGAGAGAGACCTGTTTCCCATAGAAAAGAAAACAGAGCCACAAAACCTGGGTAGGCGTTGCTGAGGGGGGGGTCATGTGATTCGGTGGGAGTGAGGGACATCGAGTCGGCCACGCCCGCTCAGGTTTTGTGGCTCCCGGTGTTTTCTTTTCTGTGGGAAACGGGTCCAAATGGCTCTTTGAGCATTTAAGGTTGCAGGCCCCCTGACTTGGACTGTTTGTACTCCATTTGTACTACTGAGAAGAACCACCAGGGGGCAGCCAGGGCTCACCAAGACAACCGGTCGGATGCGCTAAGCCAATATGACCACCGGAAACACCGAAAGGTTTTACAGCGGATCCTTTTTGCTCTTACAATTTCACCTTGCTGCAAATAAAACGCAGATCTACGGGAATCCAGCCCAAAGGCTGAGCTCAGGAGATCGAAGGAGGCCACCAGCGTGTAACTCGTTCGCGACGGAGGTCATCCATCAGGACCCCACACCTGTCACGGCTAACATTCAGAAGGCACAAATATACGGGCAGTCCCCGGTCTTACGACCACCATGGAGCCAAAATCTCGGCAGTTAAGCGAGACGTTTGTTAAAAGTGAGTTTTGCCCTGTGTGACGACCTTTCTCGCCTCCGCTGGGCCGTTGTAAGTTTGAATGATCACTAAATGATAGTACAGAGAGTCCTCGACGTAACAACAATTCATTTAGTGACTGTTCGTAGTTATGACGTCACTGGGAAAAAGTGACACGACCGTTTTTCGCACTTCACCACTTTTGTAGCATCTCCACGGTCCCAGGATCAAAATTCGGATGCTTGGCCACTGACTCACATTTACGACGGTCGTAGTATCCGTGGCAGGTCACAGGACCCGCTTTTGCAACCACCTTATAAGCAAAGTCAATGGGGAAGCCGGATTCGCTCAACAACCGTGTGACTAATTCAACAACTGCGGTGATTCACTTAACACCGGTGGCGAGAAAAGTGGTAAAATCTTAAAACACACATCTCACTTAGCAAACAGAAATTTGGGGGCTCAATTGTCGTCGTAAATCGAGGACTACCTGTAACTGTGGAATCCACTGGATCTCTTCTGTTCCAGAACCATCTGTTCTGACCGAGGCTTCCCAAAAGCACGAAGCCAAACTCCTGATCCCGATCACACCTCTTTTATTTAGATTAAAATAAATTCCTCTCCAGCAAAGTCCCGGCCAACAGTCTTTCAAGAGATTTCACAACTACCGACCTTTATCAGGCTTGGAGAGCTGCCAGGCCGATATCTTCCAAACGCCATGCTGTAGCAGCAATTACTCGGCGAGAAGTCAGGAACAGATCTTCCCCCTAATGAATTGAACTAATTGCCTCCTGCAAACTCCACTCCCCTTTTGCTCCTCTTTAGTCCCTATGGGAGGGGCCATTCACCGTCCACCTGTGGCCTTACTCCCGAATCGACCCTTGTTCCTTAGCTGTTCCCTTCTCCTGGCAACTCAGCGCATGCGCACACTGGGAACAGGCTCCAGCTGCTCTTCTGCCTCACTGATGTCTGACTCTCAAGGCAGCTGATAACTGTCGGACGGCCTTGGCCCCATCTCTGCCTCTGACCCAGAACCCTCATCCGAGCCTTCCCCAGACTCTAGGACTNCAATATGCTGACTCTGTAAACCGCTTAGAGAGGGCTGAAAGCCCTATGAAGCGGTATATAAGTCTAACTGCTATTGCTATTGCTATAAACATCTCCACAGCCAGCTGATCAAAATTTAGAGGCAAGTCGCTTTTTTTCAGGGCCCAGGTCACTTTGAACGGTCGCTAAACAAACGGTTATAAGTCGAGGATGACCTGTATGCAACCCAGCTCCCTTCCTGGTGTTTTATTCAGCGGGCCATCGTACAATGGAGCCGAAGGTCCTTACTGGTCCTTTTCTACTTTGATCTCCACAAAGGAGCTGAGTTCGGTGCTGAAAGCTTTGTGGGGGGGTACGTGGGCCGGGGTGCCCATTTTGGGGTCTTCCTCCTGGAAGTGGGGATTGTAGAGCTGCGGGGGCAGAAGCTGAACTTCGGCAGAGGGGAGGCGTTCGGAGGGCGGCCCGTACACGCGGTTGGCTTTGGTGCCGTGCTTGGAGTTGGCGTCCAGACGGTAGCACAGCTGGCTGAGCGGCGTCGCTCGGAAGCGGGGCGGCCGCGCCACCCACACGCCAGCTTCGCGGGCGCTGTCTTCCTCGTCCGACATCAGTTCTTCGGTGACCCCTCGCCACAGACGCTGCTCCTCCGAGCCCAACAACTGGGCCACCCCCGAACGGTTGGCGAAGAGCTTGGAAAGGAAGGAAAAAAGAAAAAGAGGAGATTCCAATTTATTTAGGCAAGAAAAACGAAATGCATAGGTACCGTATAGGTCTATGTTGGCGAACCTATGGAACGCGTGCTGGAAGTGGCATGGAGGGCCATCCTGCGCAGGATGTGCGGCCTCGCTGTCTCCTCTTCTGCGTTCCTGTGGCCGCACGTGTGCTGGCCAGCTGGCTTTCAGGTAACCATGTCAAGGTAATAATTTAAGAACTGACCAGCTGGAACAATGACTGGAATGAGTCAGCAGGATTTTTGGCTGTTATCCCTTTAAGAGCCTGTGTAATAAAAAGAGGCCCGGCTAGAGTGTTCCCAGTTCGCCGAGTTTCTTCCCTGCTGTAATTGCTGTTTGTTTAGGTACTGCTTGTAGTATGTGTATGTATAGTATTCCTATATTTCTACTGTAGATAAAGACCACTAGGGAATTCTGGGAGTTGAAGTCCACAGGCCTTAAAGTTGCCAAGTTGGGAGACACAATATAGCAGTAGACTTAGCAATAGCAGTAGACTTAG